CAATTTATAACTCTTTAGGGAACGATGAAATTAAAATACTTTTAGATTATAGAGGTGAGGTGGGGTGGAATTGGGTTTCACGTCGTGCTTGAGAATATTTCGCTCATATGACGACGTGCATGCGTGTGTATGTCTATGTGCGGCTGCTTGTACTAGCCCAGACTTAAGATGGTTTTATAGTGCTAGCCCACTGAGATACCATGCCGCAGTGAAGCATGAATACCCCACTCAGACACATTATACTGACTCCGAGCCGACCAGTCCTTGTTGTACCCATTAATGCCGAGCGCCAGGCAGGGACCAACAAGTACCATATTTTAACGTCTTTTGGTATGACGCGGTCGGGGATCGAACCTGCGACCTTCCACTCTCCGGGCGGACGCTCTAACCACTACTCCACGGAGGCGGTCTTTTAGATTATAGAGAAAAATTGGAAACAATAAGAACAGAGAAAAGAAAGGGCAGTATTTTTAAGAAGTGAGGGTAAGTGATATGAAGAAGGTGAAAAGAATAGTGAATATTTCCTAAACCTTCAAAAAAGAAATTAAATCAATAAAAATATGGCTGAAATAATCAACGATAGGACTGACTGAGTTCGGTTTTACGCCGCTTTTAGCAATATTCCAGCAACATCACGGAGGGGGACACCAGAAATGGGCTTCACACATTGTACCCATGTGGGGATTCGAACCCGGGTCTTCCACGTGACGAGCCATCGCTTTAACCACTAGGCTACCCCACCGCCCAATCAACGACAGGAAGGAGATACTTACTGATAAAATAGACATACTTAAAGAAAGTTCTTCTTTTTATGAAAACTTATATCAGACGCATCAGGATGATCATTGGGATACCACTATTAACAAATTCACTGATATTGACGTAAAACTAACACAAGAGGAACCAATGTCATGTGAAGGTCCGATAACTATAGGAGAATGTGACGAGGTTTTACAAAATAGAAAGAGTCCTCGATCAGACGGTTTCACGGTCGAATTTTATAAATATCTCAAGGTATCATTACTTGTATACCAAAGGGAGGTAGGGACCGCAGATATCTAAAAAAAAAAACTGGCGCCCAAAAATCTTATTAAACGTAGACTACAAAATCGCGTCCGGTGCATTTGCTCGTAGAATCAAAACGGTGTTACCAAATATACTAGCCACATAAAGAAACTGTGCATTGTCAAAATATTATCCCAGTTGATAAGTACGATAACAATGTCAAAGGTACATATAAACTTTAATTGAGGGATCATGAGACCATAACAAGTCGGGAGAATTTCAATTGAAAAGTCAATCACAATGACGTCACGAGTCCACAAGCGGGACAGGGGTCAAACGACCAAGTCACAAGCTCAATAACGGGTATGTCCACCATCGGCACTGAGAACAGCAGTGACCATCGACGACGCATAGAGCCTATCAAACATGCAAGGAAGGCTTGTGGGATGTCACGCCAGATTCGCTCAAGTTCTGTTGCAAGGTCAAGGACGTTATCTGGCGGATGAGGAAGACGGCATAGACGTCGATCCATCTCGTCCTAAACATGCTCTATTGGGGAGAGATCCGGTGAATTTGCAGGCCAAGGCAGTAAGTCAACGTTGTGGTGTTGCAAGACATCCATAGCAACCCTTGCCGTATGAGGGCGGGCATTGTCCTTTTGAATGTTAACCCAGGGCCATGACGTTTCAGAAAAGGATGTCACAGGTCGAAGAATCTGATCCCTGTAGCCCACACTAGTTAAGTTGCCCTGAACAATCACCAAAGGAGTTTTTTGGGGTGTTGTTATTCCACCCTAAATACACCACGGAACCACCACCAAAGCGATTCCTCTCGAAGACACAGGCCTGTACATAACGTTCTCCCAGGCGTCTATAGGCACGTTGACGTCCATCACTATGGGAAATGGTAAACCTGGACTCATCGGTAAAAACGACATTTCTCCACCAAAACAAGGGTCTGCGGACATGATTTCGGCACCACATTCGGCGAGCTTGTCGATGACGTTGTGTCAGGATAGGCCGTATGGCGGGACGTCGTGGTATGATCCCGTGATGACGTAAACGTTGTCGAACTGTGTTGGGGTGGATACGGCGAAGTCCTGGGATGGTTCGGGCAGTCATCACTGCAGTCTGAAACCTGTGGCGAAGATGGGCCACCCTTATCCATCTGTCCTGTCTTGGCGTTATAACACGTGGACGTCCAGAACGTGGCCGATCGATGACGTCATTTGTGTTCTGGTAGCGTCTCACCAGTGCAGAAATGGTGTTCCGGTGGCAGTGGAAATGTGCAGCCACTTGTTGAGACATTCCCCCCCACGGACCATCCCAATGGCCTCATGACGTTGTGCAGACGTGAGCCTTGGCATGCTATGCGTTTCAATAGCCATTGAATTTTTTGAACGATCGCAAGGGCAGGGGTTGAGCTTTCCAAAGTGACAGTACTGTGTGGCATTCATTTGCTCTGTTTCTCTTTCCCGGAATGCACGTGCAACAACGTTTTGCACGTCTCAAGGATGAACCCACTGACGTCACGGAACGTGGCACGTGCATGCATGTTGGATACATGTCACTAATCTCTGAGTTTAAATCCTTATGTGTCTACTCAGGTTTGATAAATTTAGATTTTAAATTTTTGTATGCACAGTTTCTTTATGTGCCTAGTATATAATAAGTGAAACAAAACCTGGTTTTATGAAGGGCATATTTATTGGAGAAAACACAAGACTTTTGTACGATTTGATAAATCACTGTGAAGTGCATAAACTCCCCGGACTTATAGTAACGGTTGATTTTGAAAAGGCATTTGACTCTTTAGAATGGGAATTTATCGATGAAGCGTTTAATTTTGGCCCCCCTCCGTTAGAGAATGGGTTCGACTTTTAACTCAAAATAGCCGTAGTGCTAAAATAAACTCGGGACATATTTCCATTTTTTCAGCCTGGGTCAGGGATGTCACAGGGGAGATCCTTTATCGCCTTACCTATTCATAATATGTGTACAACTGCTTGCTATTTCTATTAATCGTAACAAAAATATAACCGGGATTAATGTCTATTTTTCAATATGCAGATGATGGTAATTTCTCGCTAGACGGATCAGATCAAAGTCTAGCAGAAGTCATGAAGACTCTTAAAGAATTTGCTCAGGGTAAAAAGTCAATCATGACAAAAGTTCAGCCGTTTGGATTCGACCCAAAACTTGTTCGTCTGATAAACTGTCGCCTCATATACTTCTTTATTGGTCCAAAGAACCCTTTAAGATTCTAGGAATTACATTTTCAACAAATCTGAAGGAATTGTTAGATTTAAATTTTGATAAACAATTTACAAAGGCAAGAAAAGTGTTATTCAGATGGTCAAATAGAACGTTAACTCTGCGAGGAAAAATTGTTATAATAAAACCTCAAATTTTACCCTTATTTACTCACCTTTTTACGTCTCTACCTGATCCATCTCCTAAGTATTTTAACGAGTAAACTCCTTGCTATATAGTTTTATATGGTATGGTAAAAGAGATATAATAAAAGAACTATGTTGATTAATGACTATGAGAAAGGTGGATTAAAAATTGTAGATGTCTTATCATTTTGTACTTACATGAAAATAAAATGCGTGAAGAAGCTACTTTCCTCAAAGGAGTTATGGGAACACCTTGCCCACTGTGAATTATATCCACTTGATTATGTGAACATATATTCTCGAAAGATTTTATGAGACACTTAATCAAATTAAGTACATTCAAAAATTAGGCAATCCTCAACGTCAAAACAATTTTACAACTACCAATAATTAATTTCATTCCACACAAAGACATTAAAGAGTTTTCAAATTGGTTAAAACGTGGTGTAAAAGCAATGAGATATCTATTTGCAAGAATGGGTGAATTAAAAGATTTCAAAACTCTTTAAGCCAAATTTGATTTAAGTGGTACTTTCTTGCTGTACCACAGACTTTTAAAATATATTCCTAGAAACTGGATTAACAGGATGCAAATTTATCTTAGTAAAGAGCACAAACAAAGTTCGGATTCTCAAAACCTAATGCACAATTTGATATCCATTAAGGGTCCTAAGTTCATTTATCGGCAAATATGTGAAGATGTACAAAGTGATCTCTCTGAACTTAGTAATAAATGGGAAACAAAATTCAATACACCTGTAACTAAAGATTATCTGTCCAGCTGCTTTAAAATTAATCAATTATGTACTGGAGAAAACAAGCTGCGAAATTTCCGATATAAAATCTTACATAGCATTCTAACAACCAACGTTTTCTTGTTTAGATAATGATAATGATTTTGGCAGTTTTTGTAAGACTGAACGTGAAACAATAGAACATATATCTTTTGTGTGTGATAAAGTGAGTGCATGTTTTACCTGTTTCAGTAATTGGTATGATTATATTACAACTGAAAATATTAATATCTCTGACAGGGCGATCATTCTTGAAGACCCCGATAAGAGTATTCTTATCAATCATCTCTTTCCGATAATGAAAGAATATATGTATATTTGTAAGTGTAGAGAAAGTTCTCTACAATTAAATCTTCTCATTGCCCGAATACGATATTATTGTCGAATAGAAAAATATCTCTATCAAGAAAGAGTTTCATATATACACAAATGGTCTGTACTGCAACTTGACAAATAAGTGTGTTTAGTGTCTTTTTCCAATCATATGAACTTTCATTACCCTAGCCTTACCAGCTGGCCATCCTAAGCCACAGCATGTGTATATTTCTTTTCCGCAAAGAACCCACAATCTCTAGCCACGTGGATATGTGAGGAGCATTATATAAGCGTGGCCAGCATTTTCGCATTAATACAAAATTACAAAACGAATACATTCACACACATTCAAAAAAATAAAATACAATAAAACTTTAAACATTTTTTTTAAATAAGTAAATAACTCCACAAAGATAAGTTAGAAAACAAAGACTTTGCCCTCCATATCTTTCTTCATGAAAATGCTTAGACCAAATATAAATACACACCCGTACACCTTCTTCAGTAGGAGGGTGTCTATTGTCGTTCGCACCAGTTGCAGATGGCTTATGATTGGAAGAGTCGTCGGTGGCGGGTGGTGCAGAAACAGCTGATACGTTACTGTGTTCACCTATAGCTGTCTCTACTCTCGGACGGGAAGCCTCCTGCAGTGTAGTCCTTTCTGTGACAACATGGCAATCTAATAAACATGTTGTTTATGCAACATGCTCACTGTCTTTAATACTTTCGAGGGTTCTGTTAAAAACAATCGCACTAGTTAAAATATATTTGTAAATATTTAGACTTCAATTGGCTTTATTTATTCTTGCCTACGTATTCATTATTTCTGGATAAAACCGTTGCAAAAGTGATAATAAATGTCCAAACCTGTCTCAATGCCTTGTTCTTGGCCCTGGGAGTAAATAGAAACCCGATCGATGACGTCATTTGTGTTCTGGTAGCGTCTCACCAGTGCAGAAATGGTGTTCCGGTGGCAGTGGAAATGTGCAGCCACTTGTTGAGACATTCCCCCACGGACCATCCCAATGGCCTCATGACGTTGTGCAGACGTGAGCCTTGGCATGCTATGCGTTTCAATAGCCATTGAATTTTTTGAACGATCGCAAGGGCAGGGGTTGAGCTTTCCAAAGTGACAGTACTGTGTGGCATTCATTTGCTCTGTTTCTCTTTCCCGGAATGCACGTGCAACAACGTTTTGCACGTCTCAAGGATGAACCCACTGACGTCACGGAACGTGGCACGTGCATGCATGTTGGATACATGTCACTAATCTCTGAGCTTAAATCCTTATGTGTCTACTCGGGTTTGATAAATTTAGATTTTAAATTTTTGTATGCACAGTTTCTTTATGTGCCTAGTATATAATAAGTGAAACAAAACCTGGTTTTATGAAGGGCATATTTATTGGAGAAAACACAAGACTATTGTAGGAGTTATAAAGGAGTTATGGGAACACCTTGCCCACTGTGAATTATATCCACTTGATTATGTGAACATATATTCTCGAAAGATTTTATGAGACACTTAATCAAATTAAGTACATTCAAAAATTAGGCAATCCTCAACGTCAAAACAATTTTACAACTACCAATAATTAATTTCATTCCACACAAAGACATTAAAGAGTTTTCAAATTGGTTAAAACGTGGTGTAAAAGCAATGAGATATCTATTTGCAAGAATGGGTGAATTAAAAGATTTCAAAACTCTTTAAGGCAAATTTGATTTAAGCGGTACTTTCTTGCTGTACCACAGACTTTTAAAATATATTCCTAGAAACTGGATTAACAGGATGCAAATTTATCTTAGTAAAGAGCACAAACAAACTTCAGATTCTCAAAACCTAATGCACAATTTGATATCCATTAAAGGTCCTAAGTTCATTTATCGGCAAATATGTGAAGATGTACAAAGTGATCTCTCTGAATTTAGTAATAAATGGGAAACAAAATTAAAGATTATCTGTCCAGCTGCTTTAAAATTAATCAATTATGTACTGGAGAAAACAAGCTCCGAAATTTCCGATATAAAATCTTACATAGCATTCTAACAACCAACTTTTTCTTGTTTAGATAATGATAATGATTTTGGCAGTTTTTGTAAGACTGAACGTGAAACAATAGAACATATATCTGTTGTGTGTGATAAAGTGAGTGCATGTTTTACCTGTTTCAGTAATTGGTATGATTATATTACAACTGAAAAAATAATATCTCTGACAGGGCGATCATTCTTGAAGACCCCGATAAGAGTATTCTTATCAATCATCTCTTTCCGATAATGAAAGAATATATGTATATTTGTAAGTGTAGAGAAAGTTCTCTACAATTAAATCTTCTCATTGCCCGAATACGATATTATTGTCGAATAGAAAAATATCTCTATCAAGAAAGAGTTTCATATATACACAAATGGTCTGTACTGCAACTTGACAAATAAGTGTGTTTAGTGTCTTTTTCCAATCATATGAACTTTCATTACCCTAGCCTTACCAGCTGGCCATCCTAAGCCACAGCATGTGCATATTTCTTGTCCGCAAAGAACCCACAATCTCTAGCCTCGTGGATATGTGAGGAGCATTATATAAGCGTGGCCAGCATTTTCGCATTAATACAAAATTACAAAACGAATACATTCACACACATTCAAAAAAATAAAATACAATAAAACTTTAAACATTTTTTTTTAAATAAGTAAATAACTCCACAAAGATAAGTTAGAAAACAAAGACTTTGCCCTCCATATCTTTCTTCATGAAAATGCTTAGACCAAATATAAATACACACCCGTACACCTTCTTCAGTAGGAGGGTGTCTATTGTCGTTCGCACCAGTTGCAGATGGCTTATGATTGAAAGAGTCGTCGGTGGCGGGTGGTGCAGAAACAGCTGATACGTTACTGTGTTCACCTATAGCTGTCTCTACTCTCGGACGGGAAGCCTCCTGCAGTGTAGTCCTTTCTGTGACAACATGGCAATCTAATAAACATGTTGTTTATGCAACATGCTCACTGTCTTTAATACTTTCGAGGGTTCTGTTAAAAACAATCGCACTAGTTAAAATATATTTGTAAATATTTAGACTTCAATTGGCTATATTTATTCTTGCCTACTTATTCATTATTTCTGGATACAACCGTTGCAAAAGTGATAATAAATGTCCAAACCTGTCTCAATGCCTTGTTCTTGGCCCTGGGAGTAAGTAGAAACCAAACATATTAACAGCATTTATATGGAGATACAGTGATGCCTGGTAGCACTGTACTGCAATCAGACACTTATATCAGTTACCGTTGTCTGTGAGTGAATTTGGATCTATTCAACCAAATGATACTAGACTGTAATCTTATACGTATTGTTGTGAGAGTGTGTGTTTTTGAAATTTGTATTAACATTGATTAGGTGATAGTTATTATGGGTCACAATGTTTAAAGTTTTGAGTGTGGGTTGTTTGTCAAAGTCAAAGATGTTTATTGTACAAAAGGCCTCCGGGCCCATATACATTGGAGTTATACATATACATTATACATATGGTGCAATAAGTAGTACTTAGTGATCCAAACAGCAAATCATGATACAGTCAGTAAATTATGTACAGGTAGTGAAATACGATGGACCTACAACACCTTTTATCAGATTGTTACGTTTAATAAGCGCATAATTGATATAGTACGACAGCTTTATTATTACATGCTGGTCAGTTGATGAAAGAAGTAGTTTAAATGCTAATGTAGGTGGCTTACATAGATAATATTCAGCTATATATTTCGTACGCAAATCTTTATACAAAGGACATACAAGTAAAAATGGATTTCATTTTCCACAACTATATTACACAGTGGGCACATTCTCTTGCATCGTTCAATATAAAAACGTCTTCCTTCGTTTACCAGTATGTTGATCAAACCTAACCTAAAACGTATAAATGAATATCTTAACATATCTGATGTTAAAAACGACAGATATTTCTCCGGCTGGAGTAGTGATTTGTATATTCTATAAGAGTCGTACCGTGAACTATTATGTATTACTGAATACCATTCTTGATTAAACATATTAAGACTTCTTTCTCGAAACTGAGTTAAAAACAAACTTGCATCACCAACTGACTGACTTAACCATACAAAACCATAACCATGTGAAAACAGAAGATTTCTTACATAAGATGCCCACGTCACTTTACCAATGTTGTCCAAATGAACAAGTATAAGCCTTTTTGGGTAATCTATGTTCTTGCATACACAATATCTTAAACCAGAATTTTATACATCGAATATGAGCATTTATATACAGGGGATACCTCCCACATTCACCGTACACCATACAATACGGTGTAGTGGGTCCTACATTTAAAAATTTCTTACAGGCCATCAGATGTATTTTTTCTATGCATTCATATCTCTGGAATCCCCAAATCTCGGATCCATACAAAAGAATAGGCTGAATTTGACAATCAAATAGTTTAAAGTAAATACTGGGCGTCAACACACCAATTTTACACAAGGCAGATAAAAGACTTATCAATGCTTTCTTAGTTTTCAATGATAATTCAGTAACAGATGTTTTCCAGTTCATAGCAGACGTAAACTTAATACCAAGATAAATGTAATGATCAGAGACAATTACAGGTTGGTCATTAAAGGACCACCTTACTTTAAAAGATATCCGGCCACCTTTTCTAAATATAACAATATTAGTTTTATCTAGGTTAACGGATAAATCCCATGTTTTAGTATACCGTTCCAAACAGTATTTAACTGGGTTTGTAGTCCAACTACAGATTCTGATAAAAGAATTACGTCATCAGCAAATAAAAGAATAAAAAGTTCTAAGAGATCTGGAAATATTTGGATGCCATCCTTACCATTTGCGATAATATCGTAGTACAATTCGTTGATAAACAGGGAAAATAGAATTGGACTCACAACACATCCTTGTCTTAAGCCAACGGGGCAATCGAAAAAATCTTATCATCACCACAACGTACACAAGTTATCACATTAGTATACAATCAACGAAAGCTACATATAATTTGTTTAGCATCATGTATGTTCAATGGCAATGCTATTTTTCGCGGAAAGCCTATTGGATAGCGCTTTAGAGTTGCCTCCCTTGACTATCTAATTAACGGCTTTCATCATGTCGTAAACACGTTGCCGTTCGCGAAAGTACTGAGTGAATAATGATACAGCCATGCTTTGCTCGAATGGCACTGTGTCAGTATATATAAAGGGTGATTGTTGTGTTGACACACACGCACGGAATTACACGGGACGTTTCATATCACTGGAGATATACATCTGTCTGCCTTCGTCAACATCGTCTGACCCTGACACTGCGTGCCTGACTACTGTCACTGTAAACTACCTTCATTCAGTATATCTGCTCTAATTGTAAATGTCAAGACTCCCGTGAGTTGATATCTTATATTTGTGACCCAATACTTTAGATTTCTGACTCAACTGCATTGTACTAGAAATCTGTATTGTGATTCATTGCAGCTTGTTCATTGTTACCTCAATACACTATTAAATATTTTAGACTTGTCTATGTTATATTTTGCTGGTTCAAAGGGGAGTCTTAAACCTTTTGTCACGGCAATTTATTAACCGTAACAATATGGAAATGAGTATCATGACACCTATGCATTTAAACTCCCTTTTAGACAGATATATTCATATCATAATTCTATTTGTTTGTATGATTATTTTGACACTTTGGTCACACCATGGAATGATTTTAGATATGCACATGCTACGATCAAAGGCGAGCGTCACATGTAATACGTGTACCCGCCATTAACCAAAGATCAAGTTTCAGTTAACTGTTCTTACAGTGAAGTAATTTGGCCCATCAATTTGATTTCGTTGACAGCTGACAACTGTTCAAAGATTGCAAGTTATTGGTATGTGGATTGCTGGTGTGTGACTGAGGGTTGTTATAGGAGATGCTGGCTGTCATACATATATAGCCGATTGACCGAAATCATTATCAAAATAATGACGTTAATTAACAACACCTTCTTATTAGCTTCTGTTTGGCTACCGGCACAAAGGTGATACAATAGCCGTATTCGAAACTGCTGGCACCATTTGTCACTTCCATATTGAAAATATCACAATGAACTAATAAACATCACTCGCCTGTTGGCAGTCTTCATATCTACACCAGTTTGCAAAATGTTCGCAGTTTCTTGTGAAGATGTCATGCTCTTGTCTCCCCAGTTGGCTGCGTGCATCCTTCACAATCTGAGACTTACTTTGGGGGCTGAAAACACGGAACGTTCTGTTTTTAAGTTGACTTTTTTCCCTCAGTGGAGAAGTAATGTCCTACACCTGAACCACCACCAAGGACTTCACGTCGTGAGAGGAGACCACCGGAATGGCAGCGCTCAGGGGATTACGTCATGAGCCAGACCACAATCAACGACTGCGACCTAGTAGAGCGCTTGGCCTCAGCATGTGCATTTGAGCAATTTGGTGGTGCTATGTCACAGTTTGTTGTGAACCTTCTTCACCCTAGTAAGTGACAAGGACGTCATTTGTGTGGAGGGGGAAGTATGTGGCAGAGTCAACTTTGTGTATATATCTTTTATAGATATAAATACAAATGTATATAGTTTTGTGAATAAACATATGAATCTTTTATCTATATCTAACCATTTTATCAATTATTTTACACTCAACGCTCAACATTCAACATTAGCTTTCTAAACATCAATCTAATCTTAAAGTAATCCATTTCAGCAATACTCATGTAACAAGTACAAAACAAGTGTGTAACAAATACAAGTGTGTAACAAGTACAGAATATACAAATTGTAAAATGTTCTGGAAAAGCAATCTATATTAATATGTCTTGTCTTATGTTCCTGAATCAATTCATAATACTTTAAACAATAATACAATTGTCAGTGAAAAGGTTTACATTTTCACAAGTCCGTGATTTGTTTATAGTCATCACTGGGTCATGGGGTCGAAAGTTGTTCCTTTGCAAATTAGCCAAGTCTTAAGGAAGTCAGGTCTGCTGTCTTGTCCTTTGTTTTCATTGGCTGAAGATGTGCAGCATCTTGATTGGATGTTGAATTTAGTTGCATTTAGAAAGTGTGAAGTTTGTTCACTTGCTGTCTTTCTCCCAACCTGGAAAGGTGGTTTGAAAGTCATGGATGGAGGATTGTGACTGTGGTGAATTACAGGTTAGTTACATTTGGTTTTATATAAAAGGAATAAACACAAAAATATGTTAAATTGTTGATAGGTTAAGTCAGTATTTATTGTAGCTGAATTTATGTATTTGGTGGAGGTATATTTTGACCTATGGTTAGAAGTTGTTGGTGTCAATAATTTCACTTACAATTGATTCGGATTAATGTTTGAGTCCAAACGGATTGTTCGTTTACTTTATTGGTAAGAATTAGCATTTCCATGCTAATTAAAACATGCATATTTTAGGTCCTTGGTTGGTGTTTTGTTGGTGCCTCACAACATGTGGCCAGTTTGAAACAAGTTGTCCCAAAGATGGTAAGACACGCTGATAGTTCATTGTTTTGAAGATGCCATATGTGTTCCATAATTGCACTTCTAAGAATCTCAATATGTAACTGAAGCATTGATTTTGTCATGTCCATTTGTTTTGAGTTGTTGTTATACGTTCAATGGTAGTACTGCAATTAATAATGATCTGAACAATGTGCAATGAAATGAATGTGATAAAATAGATATTTTGATGGCGATTTATATATTCATATACATTGTTTCAGACTTGTATTTTACTATACAAACTACAGTAATAAACAAGGAACGAGCCATCCCCGTTACACTCATTTGCACTGCATGCTTTTCTCCCCGCAAACCCTTCTAAAGCATGTCTCTTGCTCAGGCTAGTGTGGGTTCTATTGTTCTCTGTCCATCCAAGCGTATACGGTAGTAAGGTATTTAAAGGTTATTTCATCTAGTCTCCTAGTCAGTCTCTTATGTGGTTGTGGTTTGTCCAAATATTATCTATCATCGAGATCATGGTGATCTGGAGTGTTTTACATGCATATATAAGGTTAGTAATCTCTAGTCTTGTGTATATATTTATTGTGGTTTTGTGTGTGTATTTGATAGTTGATGGTTTTATTGGTCATAGTTTAAAGTATGCTTCATTTCGGTATCCACTTTCTATTATGTATGAATATTTTATGTGGTGGCTACTCACAGTATAGTGAGTTATGTTATTGCCATTAGCGTAGATTGCAACTCGCATTAGAGTGAGTTATACTGTTGTTTTAGTATGTGTTTAGCTCACAGTATAGTGAGTTAGGTTAATGTTAAGATTAAGTTTTGACTCACAGTACAGTGAGATGTGTAAGTGTTATATTATATAATTATAGCATTACATATAATCATTAATTTCTATGTCATCTAAGTGTAATATTTAGCAATAACCTTACTTCCCATATTCCTATTATATTAAAGCATTATTACTATTAGCACTATTATCCCTACCGTAAATGAATGCGTGTGTGGATGTATGTGCGAATGTGTGGTAAGATGTGGTTGTATGTAGCTTTTACCGTAGTTACTGTTTTAATCATTTGTTGTAAATATCATCTGCACATGGCATTTATTCATCCTGCAGATGACATAAACACCAGCAGTGTCACCTATGAGTTGACTGCAGAAGCTCAAATCATACCAACCTGGTATGTTATCAATGTTATTTTATATGCATGTATCTTTGTACATTATGTGATACCTGTCACATGTGTAATATTGATAGAGTCTATGCCATGTAATATAATTAATACATTTGTATCATTCAAGTCTATCCGTAAAAAATGTGTTTTACCATTGTAATATTCATTTACATGTATATATCTATGTTGTCATGGTAATGTGCTAGCAACAGTAGTTACGATTAGTATGTGTGTGTGTGTGTGTGTGTGTGTGTGTTTGTGTATAAATATATATATATACGTGTTTGTGTGTGTTTAATTAAGTATTGAGATACGTCAATTATTATTATTATGTTTTACAGATTAAAGATAAAAATGCAGCAGAGAGAGTTCGGGTGATCCTGGCACAGTCAGGCTAGTAAGGCTCATCATCAGCTCAGGGCCCTTGCCTCCTCTACACGCAGCCCAGACAGCGAATGGGACTTCTCCCAGGAAACACTGCCTAGTCGAACCCACCAAGAACATTCTGGAGACTATATAGACTCCCCAACACTGCAGCCTTCTCCATTACGCAGAGTGTCAGAAGGGCTGTGCTCCCGGTGGAGAACCCGGGCACTCTCCTGATCTGCGCCAAGAGATCAGGAGGTACCAAACCAAGGGCACCGAGAACAATGGGGAGCCTGACGACAGTGTACTTGGGATGCAAGCGAGAAATTTCAAAGGCGAGGTCGGCATATTTATCATGCTTTTCCTGAATCTTGCCAATCGCATTGCTGTCAAAAGGGACAGAAAATTCAATGATATAAATAAATTCATTGGCTTTATCAAAAATACAAGATCAGGTTTGTTGGCAGGAATTCTTCTGAAGCTGTATATGGGCCTGTTTAACAAAACTTTGAAAGCATCATTTTCCATGATGCCCTGGACATGTTCAGGGTCGTACCATGGATGGATCTCGGAGTCAAAGCCACAGGCATGGCGAAGACGGTAGGAAAAGCAGCGAGCCATGCCATCATATCTCTTAAGATATGCTGTTTGTGCCAAGGAAGGGCATCCACTAACAAGGTGCTGGACAGTCTCCGTAAATTCATTACACAGTCGACATTTCAGTATTTTCATCACTTTTGGGCGATCATCAGTGGGAAGTGATCATCAGCCTGAAATTTCCAGATTCATCCAGTCCAAGTCAATTGCTATTCTGCCACACACTGCATGTACACACGATGCAGCTTCTCAGCTTTCCACAAAAGACATCTGGGCAGACTTGACTTCATGCATCCCATCGCTGTACCGAGCAGATCATCATCGATAAATAAATTTCAGATTCTGTCCAACAATCTTACACGCTTAAAATAGAATTCTTGCTCAACATGAACATGAGAGGATCATCCGATAAATAAATATGTGCAAAAACGTACACAAAAGAATTCTGTCATGAAGAGCCTCCACATTAATCAGACCCCGACCTCCAGAATTGATTGGCAATCATAAACGGTTAAGAGAGGAACGAGTGTGGTGGGCTCTGTTATCAGACATGATCCTTCTCGTCAGGCGGTAAAGACCCTGGATGTCTTGTTTTGTCCAATCAACTACTCAAAAGGAATAGGAGAGGACTGGCTCAGCAAAAGAATTGGTGGCTTTGACCTTGTTTCGAGCATTTAGCTGTGAGCTCCAGATTTTCTTTAATCGAGATTTGTACTCTGCCCGAAGTTTTTCTTGAATCTGGGCATTTTGGAGCTTGTCTCGAACTTGCATTCCAAGATAGGTGTAGGCCTGATCTTCCACAAGATGCTCAATAACTCCTCCCCCTTGTCACTTGACCGATCCATCATTAATTACCTTGCCACGTTTCAAATGAAAAGTATTACATTTGTCAAGTCCAAAAGTCATGCCAATATCATTAGAAAAGGACTCGACAAGGAGAACCTGCTTTTTCAAGTTGGTATCTCCTTTGGCCAGGAGCTCGATGTCATCCATGTAAAGGAGATGAGTAAGCGGTGTTGGGGATCTGTGCTGAGGAGGTCCAGGATGGTAACCCTCATCTCTATTGAGCAGAAAGCTCAAAAGATTTAAGGACAAACAAAAAAAACCAAAGGACTAAAGGAGTCCCCCCTGGAAAATTCCCCTTCTGATTGGAATAGATTCCGAAGTCTGCACCTGCCCTTGCGAGTACATCTCAAGTTGAGTCGTCCAGCAACTCATTAAAGACTTGAGTAAATCAAGTAGTCACTCCGTGAGGTCAATACAATGAAGAGACTTCAGAATCCATTCATGAGGGACAGAGTCGTATGCTTTTTTGTAGTCAATCCAGCACATTGAGAGGTTGCGATGATATGTTTTAGCCTCTTCCAAAGGCACCCCCAAGATCCCTTTCTCGCCCCCTTCTGCTCTCTGTAAATTGTATCATTGGAAGAGCAGTAAGATGACACGAGACTTGTTAAACAACCTGTGAAGATTGTATACTGTGTATTCAAACATGTGATAGGGCGGAAGCTTTTAGGATCGGTCAAGTCTCCTTTTTGTGGAAGGAGTATTGTGCGACCTTTGCAGAACCATGGAGGAACATCACCTGTGTCCACGAGAGTATTGAAGCAGTGAAGTAATGGTG